GTGTGTGTGTGTGTGTGTGTGCGGAGGACCCCGGAGGAAGGAATGGGTGGGGGTGTGGGTGGGGGGCAAATGACGAAAATCTGTCAGCTATGGCCTGGTCTGGAGCCGTGTGTAAATGCAGCTCCATCCCCGAGCATGACGTGACTCAGCAGCCTGTTTTTCATCCTTGAAGAATAAGATGGTCTACTCTATTTACTTTCAGTCTGTGGGAACTTTGCTCCGGGGCTTCAGGACACACCAATAGAATTTAATTCAGCAGGATCCGTCGTTGACAGTTGCATTATATTATGCTTAGACCAAACAGATCGCTTTTCGAGTTATACGTACAGTTCCGTTTGGTTTTTCGAGGGGTCAAAGATTGTACACTACAAGATGGTTCACTCAGCCAAAAAGAGTCCGCGGAAGTCCGCGCATTGCATCTGATGGCGCCGCAGTCTCTGCTTTGAAGCTCTCTTTTGTTTCTTCATTTCTTCATAAGAGAATAGGAATAGAACTTCCTTGCGCGCGCAGATCGACTGCTGTTCATCGGTCTAAAATTACCAGTTCGGGTTCCCCCAGTTTAATTTTTTTTAAAAATAATGACCTCGCCTCATGAAAGCATTCTAAACCCAGATAAAACTACAAAAACAATATAAAGAATAATAAAGTAAAAGAGAAAAACAGTCGCCTTTTTCGCCTGAAAAGTGTAGCCATTGATTTTTCTCACACAGGTAGGGTAACTCTGTTCACAAAGAGGGCTCCTCCGGATTTTGAGGACGCTTTTATAATAGGCTCGAAGAGAGGAGTGAACCATCTTGTTATGTACGATCTTTGATGGTATGACGCTTTTTTCGGATATTGTTTTGTCTGTTATTTCATTAAAAAATGTTTTGTTTCGATAATGTCAGAAGAAATAACGTTCGGTGAAGAAGTCCAGGCGTAGCCACGCCCTACCAAACACCACTGCGCAATGGGGAGCCAGTAGAGTCAGACAGGTGCCTAGCAGTGATCCCTGATACATGAAAAAAAATCTATGAAACATTATCCAATGATTTCCGGCTACTAGGTTTTCCATTTCCGGCCGTCTGCAGCATTGTTGCCAGGTACTCACCGGCCTAACTGGCGTGACTGCCAACACATCATTGGAAGACAGTATCGATTATCTTCTCAATTCTCACCCCAGCCATGATGTTGGATTACACCGAAGGTGAGTAAATCGCTAGTTAAACTCATGACAATAGACGGACCTTTATTATGTTATAATGACGACAGGGCATTTAACACATTATACCAGTTTGTACATTTATCCAACCATATCTCCCAAACCTACTAGCAGCCCCCCCCCCCAGACTCCCCCTCCCCCCACCTAAGTCCTGCCTACCTATTTCCACCTTAATCATCCAGCTTCTGGCCCCTTTGCGTGGGGCTCCAAGAGCGATATAATCCATTAACATTGGTAGCTTTTGTCCTAAAGTATCGACATGAAGACGACAGTTTCAGAAAGTGAAAAAAATAAAAAGTGTCTCTGAAAAAGCAATTGTTTGCTTTTCTGTGCTAATCTGAAAAAACAACAACAACTGAATGTTTTTTTGAAATGTCTGAACCATATTCTTGAAATATTACTCAATAGAAATAGGAAAATAGCCTATGTATTTCTGTACGATGGATTTTCAAAAATGTTCTATTTTTAGGCACGTTGTACGAGTATAACGATATGTGAAAAAGGTATATCAAAATATAAAGCTTTGCAATAATGCTTACATTAACATTATTCGCGATATTTAAGTTTTTTTCAGCTAAAGCGGCGCATGGGTGGGGGTGGGGGAACACATAACAATGTTATATTGATAGGGGGTTTGTGAGTGTACAGTGAAGCCAGTGTTTGGTGGGGGTGGGGGGGGGGAATTGTTGTGACAGATCTGACTGGCTCTCCCTTAACACTCCCCTTCACTTGTACAGTATCCTTCCCTGATTCATCCCCACTCATCTTTCCCCGTCTTCGAATGACGCTATTCCCACACCCTCATAGCAACCTAACGATGACGTATTATTCGCAGCAGACGATTAGTAGCCCATGAGTTGCCCATCCCTGATTAGGTCTCATTTCCTTTTTCTTCGCCAAACTAACATTCCCCCCCCCCATTATACTTGTAGATCTTTGAAGATAAAAAAAGCTGAATAAAAACACTATTTCTCTTTTTGACGGGGTGACACATAAATATAGCTATTCCCTCTGAAAATTGCTTTCCATAGAATTGCTCTGGATCGATATGTCTCACGCAATGAGACGACCTCAATGATCAAGGCTGGGAAAGAAAGGTAATAGCAGCGGTTTTCTCTTGGGTTTGGCCATTATGGAAACGTGAGAGATAACCCACTAAAAAGAATGTGGGCTCAGTTTGGCACAGACGGAAAATAAAATACATTATTCGTTATTTATGACAATCTCACAGGTGAGCCAAAGTTAGAACGACATTGCATTGATTGAACCTAAACATTTGAAACCCAAGAGCTCGGGATTTATGTTTTAAATGTTGTCGTTGTTTTTAGAATCTTTAGTAACGTAATACCCCACAAGACGGTGAACTATCCGATTCGTGCGCTCCAAAAGTGAACAGGAAGTTCGTCAGAGTGCACGGTCTAAGATATTATTTATCAGCGTTGGTCTACCATTGCACTCCCTTCCCAGCAGTGCATGCTATTGTACTGTTTTTCCCCCTAATATCGTATTCTCTTTGAGCCTCAGGCTATTAAATCTGCGCACACGCAATGGGCCTCGGGTGTATACTGGGCTCTGCTCTACGGGCGACAGGGCTTGGAAGCAATACTGTTTTCATGAGAATCAATGTACAGGAAAAACAAAACCACAAAAGAACGTAGAAAATAATGAATTCTCTTCCTCTCTGTTCTGGGAAAAAAAGAACAGGGCTTGAAACTTAATGCGTGTGTGTTCTTTGTCTAACAGGTCCACACCCTCCCCCTTCCTTCATTATTTTTTATTTCCAAGGACCGAGGTTTTCTCCTGTAGAAATTGTACTTTATTACATTGGGAACGAAGTTCAACCTTAGAACACACACACACACACACACACACACACACACACACACACACACACACACACACTCACACATACATACATACATACATACATATACACTCGCTTCCCCCAGATATAAAGAAACAACATGTCTTCCTGCTGCTTCGGCTCAACATGGGTGGGCCATTAAGAACAGTTTCTTGAGGCGTGGCATGGTGGTCGTTTAGCGAGGCACAAGATTACCATGTTTTATAGATACAGCCGCAGCAAGACCCACTGTTTCTTGCATCCATCCTTACTCCTGTATCTTTTCAGCCAATTTACTTTCTTTACCTTGGACTGCTACATATCTGTATACCCCACCCC